GTGACTCCTGGTTCAGTTGTTCGTTTGTTCATATTGGGTTGACTGAATGAATCTCTCACACTGAAGACACCCACGTCTCATATTTTGTCTCCACCATCTCTCTCCAAAGTCGCACTGACAGCACATGAAGTTCAGGCCGGCGACGTGCTTCACAGCAGCTTTTCCTCCTATTCAGTCCTGGAGTTCATAGGGGAAGGCGCCTTTGGAAAAACCGCTGCAGCGATGAATCTCAGGACTAAAGAGAATGTGGCTATTAAAATCCTGAAGAACAAAGAGTCCACCCAGGACACTGAGCATGAGGTATGAGACTGAATTCTTTGTTTATATTCCTGTGCTCCGGTGTTGTCTGCTCCATCAGAACATGTAGCTGATCACAAGCTGTTGACAGTCTTGTCTCATTAAGCCTCCTCTTTTCTCTCCAGGTTTCCATGTTGAGGCTCATCGGTGACCTGGATTGTGATCGCAACAACATGGTCAAGTTCCACGAGCAATTTGTGCACATGGAACAKAACTGTTTGGTCTTTGAGAGGCTGCACATGAGTCTCTATGACCTGTTAAAGCAGGGAGACTGGAAGTACCTTCCTCTACACCAGATCCGCCCAGTTGCCAAGCAGGTTTGTAGCTGCGATCAATGCATCATGAAACCAACACTCTTTTGTTATAGAGAGATCCCCAAAACCTAAACCTAACACCCAACAACAGCTCATGGGGAAAATATTCTAAATGTTTTGTATTCTTTCTGTCCCTGCAGCTCTTGGTGACCCTGGACGCCCTGAAGKGTATTGGTGTCCTGCATGCGGACATCAAACCAGACAACATTATGTTTGTCAACTTGCAGGATCAGCCACTCAGGGTTAAACTGATTGATTTTGGCTGCGCCATGATGACGTCCCAAATCGAGCTGGGGATGTACATCCAGCCGCATGGGTACAGGTGAGTTCATCCTACACAGCATCTGTTCAGCCTCATTATTTTCTCTGCTCTGAAATGTTTCAACAGATTTTTCATCTTTGGCTCATGTCTTTCCTTCTCAGGGCTCCAGAAATCTCACTCGGCCTTCCGTTCACCGAGGCCGTCGATGTGTGGGGGGTCGGGTGCGTACTGGCCTTCCTSTACATGACTGAAAACCTGTTCTCTGTTGGCTGTGAATATCAAATGGTATGTATCATCTCACCAAATGGCTTTTTATTTATTTTTCATATTCATAGAGAATGTAAGTGGAGAACCTTTAGATTCTCATGATGTGTATTGTGTCTGCAGATGAAGGGCATGGTTACAGTGCTGGGCCAGCCGGAGGACCGCCTGCTCCGTGACGGCAAGTACAGCCGGTTTTTCTTCACTGAAGAGCAGGGTGCAGACAGTTCATCATGGAGACTGATGGTACAGTAACCATGTTCTTCTTTGTTTGAGAAATTTTATTGGAGCACTTTTAAATCAAACTGCCCTGTTCTCATCTTGTTTCCTATTTGTTCCTTTAGACCGCAGAAGAATTCACAGCTGTTAACAACAGGGAAACATTGGAGCGCCCGAGCTCTCTGAGCTCTCTGAACGACCTGATTCATGTGAGTACTCTCTCATGTGTTGTACAAGTAAAGACTGGATCTGTACATCTTATTTATCTATCAATTGGGAGCTGGATCATCTGACCTGAAACCTGTTTTCAAATCCAGTTCCATCCAAAGTTGGAGGCTGCTGAGATGAAAGACCGCATGGCCTTTGTCTCTCTGTTAGAGGGGATGCTGCATGTTGACAGGGATCAGAGGATCTCTTCTAGTCAAGCTCTGCAGCATCCGTTTATCACCATGAGCCACCTGAGAGAGGATGTCAACAGTAGAGACTAGTAAGTGACCACATGTCGTTTCACACTGGAACTAAAAAACACATCAGGTTGGATGGACTGATGGTTTTAATTAATTGACTGAGTGATTTACTAATTGATTGTCTTCCCTCATCCAGTCTGACCACCTCCCAAGAGTCAATGAAGGTTTGCTCAAATGAGGACAGTGTCCACTGTGCAACTTCAGACAGCAGCCACTCTGACACCATGGACAAAGACTCCTGGAATTCTGTGGAGGCTCTGGATTCTGTGGAGGCTCTAGACTCCACAAGTGTCCCCAAGTTATCCACTGGAGACAAATACACCAGTGCAGAAGTCTCCTGGGATTCTGTGGAGGCTCTAGACTCCACAAGTGTCCCCAAGTTATCCACTGGAGACAAA